CTAGGGCGAAACGGCTGGGACAGCGCCGACAGTGCCGAGAGTTGCTGCCCGGCTCCTTGCATGGGAGAAGCGCTGAGGAACAGCAGAGAGACAGAAAGGGAACTGCGAAGAACCAGCGATCCGGGATGAGGGAAGCCCAGTAAAAGCCCTGTTACAGGAGGCTGTGGAGGGGGGAGGTGTGGGGGAGCCTGTTTTCCCCTGCTTCCCGGCCATGGAGAATGTGAAGTGCAACTAGAAGAGGGCATGTTATTTCTCAGTATTACCAGGGCCCTTAAATCACAGAATGAGTAAACAAGGATTATACCGCAGGATTAAGGGGGTTTTCAGTTTGTGTCTTGGTTGCCGCAATCTGCTTGTTCAGTGACTAGTACGGTGTACTTTGCCTGCTCTCCCACTTTTATTGTTGAAGGCGACTTTTGTACCTGCTGTGGGAGCTCCTAACTACGCTTCCCCCTGCTTTGTTGTCCGTTTGCTATGTTTGTTAGACACCTTTTCTCCTCTCCTTTTCCTTTCCCTGCATCAATTTTCGTTCTTCTCGTTTCTCTTAAGTTCTTTGCCCCTTCTCAGACCTGAGGTGCATCCAGAATAGCTTTTATTTCCAGACTGGGAAGGACTGTTGCAGTGGCTCACGTTCCCTTTTTCTCTCCTTGGTGTTGTTGGAGGGAGGAGCAAAAGAATGATCCTGTTGCTCCCTGCAGGAGCTGAGGAGCAAGAAGGGTGGCCAAGCCTTTTCTCCTTCATGTCTCCGAGAATCTTTCTGTTGTCTGAGGAGAGCTGCAGAGGACGCGGGTGGTTTCCTGCGCTGCTCCTGTCTCGGCAGGCTGGGACGCAGGGCAGCCCGCTAATCAGGGACCCTGTTTGCCGCGCAGCATCCGCTTGCCTCTCGGCAGGGCTGCGGCGGGGGAGACGAATAGCACTTGTTGTGCCATTGTGAGACTGGCCGCTTTAGCTACGGGCAGGCTGGTGTCCCTGAAAAATAATGGCAAGGCTTGGCAGCATGGACTGGTCTTTCCTGGAAGCTGAAATCGAGTAGCGGGAACCAGTGATGCTTCAGGTGTCTGATACGTACCAGGCAGATGCTAAAGGGACTGGACTTTCAAGCAGGGCAGTAATAGTGCAGGGGATCACAGAATATTCGCTTGCATTGGGCTGTGGACAGTTGGCCAGATTATGTTCCAGATTATGTCTGAAGCTTACTAAATTATTTTTAAATAAAATTTGCTGTAAAATATTTGTGCCGTAAACCTAATTGTATTTTAATATTCTCTACTCCAGATGAGTCACTTTGAAAGTTCAGCAGAACAAATCTACGTAGTTGATACATGTATATGTTTACAGGCAGTTAAGTGCAATCTTCCGAAGGTTTTAACCGGATCTTCTACAGGACTGTTCAAGCGCTGAATAGTTTATTTAATATGAATTTGCTTGTTGAGGAAGGGAGCGTGTCTCAACTTGTCTATCTTAAAGTTTTGTAGGTTGCATATTTTTAAAAATCCTGTCTAGGATAGTGCTGAGACAGCAGATCATGTCCATTCCTGGTAGGGTAGGGCATGTGGAGCTGGATACATCCAGTGTGTTTCTACCCAAGTATCTTAATTAAGCGCTCCTATTAGCAGAACTCAACTTCACTAGTGGAAGCAGTAGCGTAGATGAAGAAAATGGATGTGTTTATCATCACGATTTTTTTTTTTTTAAAAGAAATTTAAATTAAACTACAGACTACACAATGAGATACAAAAATTGTAATTCTATAAATCTCAGCTGTGCGGGAAGTTTAAGCAGAAAATAGTACCATGCTGTTCTGACTTTTAAAGCCTTTGCTAAAAAATTCTAGATCGCTTGTTAGCAAGAGAGTTTCTCAGACGCTGGTGTTTTGTCTTCAGCTGTTACTTCAGGAGCTGTTACAGTTCTGGTGTCGGTGCAGTAGTGACTCCTGTGCTTTGGTCTTGTTTTACTGTGTAGGCTCGATACTAGAGAATAAAGAACAAAAGGTAATAGGCAAGAAGAGGACAAAAAAGTCCCAGGAGAATCGGAAGGTCCAGAAAATGTCAAGATATTTGTGTGTGTGCTGAGTGGGCTTATGTGGAAAGGCAGACAATTAGAAAAGTTGGGAGTAAATTAAACTGAGGGTCAGCACTGGTTAACGGGAGAACGCTAACTGAGATAAAGCTGGTGTGGGCCTGGTAAACCCAGTGAAGTTAATCTTGCTAAACGCACCTCTTGTCCCCATTCTGGAATTGCAGAATGGGCTTGCGCACCACCTTGATAGCTGTAAATTTTAAGCGTTTTGAATACGGACAGTAGTGTAGCCAGATGCAGTCTGACCACCTGTTATTTGGCCTGGATATGACTGCAAAGAATCCCCCCTCCCTTTTTTTTTTTTTTTTTGTGTTTCCTGGTTTGATAGCAGATGTTTATCTTACTAGTGCTATGCTCTACGCTGTGGGATTGCTTAGAAGACCAGCTTGCAATAAATATTCTTCAATAAATGCTGCACACACCGCTGTCTAGGTTATAATTAAACTGACTCGCACTCAGAGTTTTCGGCAGAGCAGTCGGGATCACAATGGATCACAATGATCTTCAGGGTTTTTTCGCAGTTCTTTAACGTGCTTCTAGAAATGCATCTGTCATGTTTGCACTGTATTGTTAATGTGAATTACATAAAGTGAAATTTCTAATTACTTCTTTATAAATTCATTATAAATCTATCCTATTTGCTAAGTCAGGGTTTGACAATTGTTATTAAGAGGTATAAAAGGAAACGAGTTTATATAGAAGATGAGAGAAGGCTGGCAGCCTTCCCTGGTACTCTTCAGAGCAGTGTCTTTAGAAAAGACTAGCAATTTTGCAGACAGGTTCTAAAATTTTCCTGGCAAGTGTATCATTGATATATCTGAAAGTTTGTACTAAGCCTACAGACTTTGTGAAGCTATTGTAATTCGAGATGGTCCATATTTTATTGTGTTGCTGTATTAACTCTGAAAGCTGGATTAATGATGTGACAAGTCATCTTTAATTTTCACGGTATTGAAAATCCTATGGTATGTAAGAAAGCAGAGCTGGGGGTTTTTCCCCCTCTCTTTTTAATCTGTTCGGATGTTTGTAATGTTGTCATCACTTTTTTGCTGCATCCCAGCGGTTGGAACTGCAGGAGCACGGGGGTGTATCACTTCTCTATTTTGCTTCCAATCCAGCTTTGTAGTGGAGGTCCAGCTGTAGCTTTCTTTTAATGTACGATACCGGTTTTACCTTTCTTGAGTATTCCCTGTCCAAGGGAAATAAAATGCCTTCATTCAGTTACTGTCTCTTTTTTTTTTTTTTTTTCCAGCTAGTGGAAACCTTAAGGACACCTTTGTTGGAGCCAGAAATGGAAAATACAGGCTTTTAAAAATAGTCATTGAAAATGGTCAGTCAAATTTTAATATGATTGTTTTGCCTGATTCTTCTGGGTATTTTCTAACTGTTTTAGTAACCTACATGTACAATTGTTTTAAAAAAATTGCAGAACTTAATGTAAAGCTGATCTTTCGTATACTGAAAGTAGGATTTAATTTTGGGTGATACTGTAATTTTCAGTATAGTGCAGGATGGTATGCATACTTTCTTCCAATGGCAATGCTGGTTTGAAATTATAATTGAACTGTATAAGATACTGCATGGTTTAGCCCATCTTTACAGCGTATCAGATGCTGACCTCACTTTTTTCATTGTTCCCAGAGTTCAGTCATGTACAGTACACTGAAGTAGCTGGAGAAATGTACACGGACACTTTTATCCTTCGCTAATGAAACCTGCTGCTGCTACCTTCTTTGCATTTGCTTTTGTTAGGAAGTCTTCCACCATTTTTGTATTGCTTTTCTGAAGGGAGCAGCAATAATAGTATTATAGGCAGGTCACTGTGGTAAAGTTTCATCAGCACAGGTTAGCAAACGCTGACATACCTTTGAATTTGATTTTATTGGGCAAGATAAAAAACTGGACTTTTGAACACGCACTACTTTTTAATATAAAATGAAAGCTAGAAATGGGGAATGTGTTTATATCAAATGTTTTTCCTTATTGGGGTGTGTGTGTGTGTATATATATATGTGTATATATATGTATGTATATATGTATATATGCATTTTATTTGTAAGTAGAAGCAGAATCCAGTCTTTAATACTTGTTTACACAGTTCAAAAAGAAACTTCTAATGCTCCAAGAACGGTGGAAGAGGGACAGTTGCCTCATTTGTCCGCAGCAACTCTTTCTAGTCAACAGAAAATGCTAAAATTGAATCCTGCTAGTTTGAGTTAGTAATACAACACATTTGCTGCCAGGCAGTATAATTCCTCTAATTGTGTTTTTCTGTCTAAATCCAAGTGAGATCACAGCCATCTGGAGTCTAAGAATTGGCAAGTACGTTCTGAATACTCTTTGAGTCTTCTAGGTACACAGCTTCGGCTGCCTTGAATCCGCTGCAGAGAAGCGCCAGACCCTCTCTGTCTGAGCTGTTTATGTTCAGTGCCTTGGAAAATTAATGTGGAAGAATGGCCTCTTTTGAAAGATTTGCTGTAAGGGCATCTGTACAGTGTTGTGCTCTTGTCTGCAATTTTAGAACTTGGGTCCTGTCTCACGAAAGATACTAAACACTGTCATGGTCCTCAAACCACTGGGGGATCTCGTTTTAACAGTGTTTCGCTTTTGGGTGGGGAGGCTAGTATTTAATGGCAAATTGATAAATATTTTGAAAAATACTGTGGTAATATTTTCTTCTAGAAGCTAAGCTGTGCTTCATAAGTAAGGGAGGGAAATCTTGTTTCAACTGTACGCATAATTAAATCTCATTTGAAGTATTCTATGTAGAACTAAGCCAATTATGCATAAGAAATGACTTAAATCATTTAAAGAGACTGTAGTTATGAAGCTGTATTAAAAAGGGTTTCACCTACTTAAATAGTCAAGTGAAAGTGATTAGTGCGAGCATATTCACTCCAGACTCTCTTCGCTATATAGCTGGATTACTGACTCGTTAAAACAAATACAAACACTAATATGTTACATCAAGAGCACCAGTAATTCTAATTCTAAAAATTAAAAAGCTTACTCTCATCTTGCTTCTACCTAAACATTCTGGTATAAAAATAAACTAACTGACACAATACAGTTTTTCTTTCTTTTCTGTGTGCGTTGTGCTAAAAAACTAACATCAGTCTTAGCCCTGCAGATCAAAGAGTTTGATGACAACCAGCGCGTTGCTTCTCAGTTTCTTGTATTTGGGTCACAATAAGTTAGGTGTTGAACCTTTGTGGCTTTCGCAGGAGTTTACCCGCTTTCACATGGACTGTTCTTGACTTCCGTTCTTGTGGACGTAATTATGGAAAATGAAGTGGCTTACAATTAATCTTGTTAGTAGCCCAGTATATTTAACTGCAAGTGCTATTGTAATTGCTAATTTTAGTAACCAGTATTAACAATATTGTTGCTAACCTGCAGCTTTGGTGATTGTTTATAGAACAACTTGTTGTGGGATCCTCTAGGCAGCCTCTTGGATCATGGGAAAAGGATTATGATTCCTTTGTTCTTCCCCTTCTCGAAGACAAGCAACCGTGTTATATACTGTACAGGCTGGATTCTCAGAACGCTCAAGGATATGAGTGGATCTTCATTGCATGGTCACCTGATCATTCCCCTGTAAGTAATAGTCACTGGAAGCTTCACAGTGGTAATGAGTCTTCAGCAGTGCCGTTTGCTCTAAATCTTAGGTGAGAATGATTTGAGGATGCTTATGAAGCATCCTCACCCACTTCCCCCAAGGAAACTAGGGAAACATACTCATCTTTCCTGAAGCTGGTAGAGGAGCAGTATCAGTGGGTCTAGATGGAGTCTAGTGGATCCAATTCATTTTTAGCCTGATTTGAGGAGACAAAACACATTTTTGCACTGTTTGTCTGCCTTTCTGTCAGCGGTGTTTCATGAAAATCCGTGGCAAGATGTAGGTGGTGCCGTCACAGAGGGAAAGATTGTAGCATGAGCTCAAGCTGTTCAGTCTGTTTGGCTTGCAGGCTGGCCGGTTAGCACCCATTCGTCTGTGACCGACCACAGCATGCGCTGTTTCTTGCGCAGCGAGTAGTTAGGGAGCAGGGGAGAGAGCTGAGGTTAGAGTTATGAATTTCTAGGAGAACTGGGAAGATTTGTGTTTTGGGGAATGTGAGACAAGGGAAGACAGGAAGTAAAGTTATTTCCAGATTCCTACTACTTTCACCAGCGTTTAGGAACTATTAAGAGACCAAGGGGTGGAATATATAGCCGAGATCGGGTGGAAAAGGTGAAGGTATATTGTGATGAGCATGGCATGGTGGGGAAATAAAGTAGTGAAGATGGGACTATTGGGAGGGGAGTGCGTGAGTATGTTGGACATAAATTGATACAGGGCAGGTTTCATTAGATCTTCTGCTCCCAGGAAAATGTTATTTCTTCGTTCTGTAGTTGGACTAAAACTACTTGGAATCACTACCAAATCAAAAATAATAAAGGGCTGTTTGCAGTTTGCTCTTTTCTGCGTCTGTTGTATGCATCAGTACACAGATCAGGGACAAAGGAGCTAAGCAATTTTATTTTTTTCTATTTAAAAAGAGTTAGAGTTAGTACTGATTTTGTGTTTTTTAAGGAAAAAAATAAACTTTCAGGCATACTCTAATTAAAGCTGCTATTTTGAATTACTTTGATGGTAATGCATGGTAAAATGTCTTCTTGTACCCTTGGGAATTGAATAGCATATGTTATTATCTTGCTCCAGAGCTCATGCTGTGGGATTTGTTCTTTATTAAGAATTACAAATTTAAATCATGATTTCACCTGTGAAATATTTGTTTAAGAAAAATGTATTTCAATCGATTTGGCATATGAAAATGCTAGTTTTTGTGTATACACTGAAAAACAAAACAAAACAAGACAAGACTGTCTTATGATATACTAGGTTCGTCAAAAAATGTTGTATGCAGCAACCCGGGCAACACTTAAGAAAGAATTTGGAGGTGGTCATATTAAGGATGAAGTATTTGGAACAATACAGGTATGTTTTTCTTTTTAAAGTCAGCACGCTGCTTTAAAAATTACTAAATGGAGTAGTAGTGAGCATGTAGTGAGCTGACTTTATCAGTAGGAATTTGTGGTGTTTCTGCTCTTTTTTGAGGAAAGAAAAAAAAAAAAAGTTAAAAAGTATGTGTGTTATTCCTGTGTTTAAATGTAATCATTCTTGTTTGAAAAAGTATGTAAGTATATATAACAATTTCAGGCTTAAGAAGTCCTTGCTTCAAATGTCTATGAAAAGTAAATAATCTGGGAATAATGAGAGAATCTTTCAAGCTCACTACATGCATGTGAATCCTCACAAAAGCTGTACGCTAAAACTTTCAGGCCAATTGTTTACAAAAGCCTTTTTGGATATATGGTTCCACATCAGAAATGGGCTAGCGTGGCTATTTGTAGTCAGTAACATCTGAAAAAGAATGTTTTTATCGTAAACTAAAGATATTAAAATGTATTTATTCTCTAAAATTTGACCATAAAAAGGTAATTAAGGTCCATGGCTGCCATCTTTATTTATGGAAACAGAATTGTAATGATTATTGATTTTTTTGTTTGTTTGTTTGTTTTTTTCAATGAAGATACTAATAGTTGAGTATTCAACTACTGTTAGATAATTGGAAGTTACATGTAAAAAGTCTAATGAACTTCTAAGGCACGTTCAAGAAGTAGGGAAATATGGGGCTGTTGCATTACCTCAGTTACCTTGGGAAATAAATTTTACACGATTGTAATGTCTGCCTGTTTGTCCATCCCAACATAATTTCGACTTTTTAATATATTTTAAGCAAATGCAAATTAGAGTTCTCAAAGAAGCAAAATTCCAGTAACTTTCATGAAAACTGGTAATTATTTAAAGATCCAAATTAGCGCTCCTCTATTTCTCCTTTAGCAAACACATAGACACATAGAGTGCAGCAGATACATTCTGTTGATTATCTCATCATCTGCACAAATCTGAACCAAAGCACAGCTGCTCTTCATTCAGGGGTCTAGGGGTGAAGGAAAGGAAGGAATTGGAGATTTGGGGAACAGACGAGACAGCAGAAAAACCGTGACAAGAAACATTGGGTTGTTGTGTTGGACGCATTGCCGTAAGACGCAAATCCAAAAGGAAAGGAGACTAATAATTCTACTGCTCATTAAGTAACTTGTTTTTTATATTCAGCATCAGCATGAAACGGAGGCTGTGTTATCCTAACAAACGCACGAACAAGCCTCTCCTGGAGAGGTCTAAAGAAGCAGATAACCCAATTGCTAAAAAAGGTTACTGGTAAAGTTCACGTTATTTCCTGTTGCCCATTCCTCCATCTAATCTCTTAGCACCACATGCAGTGGAGCATTAACAGCAGAGTCTATGTAATAAGTAGAATTTGCTTCTAACCCTGGAACTCAGAGCTTGAGGCTGAGCTTCCATCTCTGTTGCAGGAGGGAAGGACCGTTGCGGTGGTTTGTTATTGTTATTTCAGAATGCGTTTGGGGCATTTTGAGGATGAAGTCAATATAACACCACTTTTCTAAGTTCATAATGTTACAGCTTATTATATCTCTAAATAGACACAGTTGGTTTTAATGTCTTTATAGAGTTATTAATTGCCTCTAATATCCATCTATGTGAAAAATCACAGCTTCTTTAAAGTATTTGAGTCACAAACCTCACACAGGATCTTGACCATCAGTATCCAGTGTTCTACTCATGTTTCTTTGTCCTTATCTTCTGTTAGACACGAGGATGGTTTAGGTGCAACCAGCTCTGGTGTCATGATGGAACCTGGCTATGGTCCCACCTGGTACTTCACATGTATTAACCTTTTGTTACCTCTGAGCTCCTGAAGCAAGACATGCTGGAATATTGACACTGGAAATTGCATTTGAAATAGTCTGCCTCCTTCTGAAAGGGAAAAGCTAAAAAAGAGGTTTCTATTTGCTCTCAGAGCTGGAGCATAAAACCACATTTGTATGATGGCATAAAGTACTGCCTTTTCCTGAGCAACGCCTTAATTGTGAAAACAGAACGGTACTTGCCTCTGGTATTAGAATGTTTGCAGAGAGACAGAACTGACACTGAGCATTAATTCCCCAAAGTGGCTATCAGAATTCATAATTTCTGTGAATTTGCATCCTAAACTATTTGTGGTATCATGTGCATGTGCTTACTACCTGTCTGCCGGCAGTACTTCTACTTCCCATTTTATAGGTAGAAAACTACCAGTCAGCTACCAGTATACTGTCTGGACGTGCAGATTTCATAAGAAGATTTTATTTTATAAGAATTGTCACACTTCTGTAAGGTTTTGTTCAAGCAGACTGAGTAACTTCATGCACACTTCCGTCTTCATGAAGTCTGATTTTTGAATTAGCGAGGTAGTTGGGGGCTGGTTGTGGATATGCTGCCCGCCGTATCATTGGGTAAGAAGAGCATCAGAGCAGCCCGGTGGACGCTGTTGTTCAGGAAGCCAAACTGAATTTGCAAACGTTCCTATGCTTGTAATCCGTTCAAATAAAATGAACATAATAACAGTGTACGTAAATGCTTTTTCTGTTCTGCATGAAGTATCTTTGAAGAAAACTTTTACTATGGAAAAAGGATTGATGCTTATACTGTGCTTTCAGGATGATGTTTCACTGAGCGGATATAAAAAATACTTGATATCACAGTCTTCCCCTGCACCTCTGACTGCAGCAGAAGAGGAACTTCGACAAATTAAGATTAATGAGGTACCTACAGGGCCTTAGAGCATGGGTGGAGAGGGAACTGGGTGCAGCGTTCTTAAATATCATAGGAAGAAGTCTTTCTAGGGTGAAAAAAGCAGAACAGAAAATTGAAGGTTTCTGAAAGGTTGAGTGGATGAGAATGTAAATTTATCTCTCAATGAGTGGAGGTTCCAGGATGATTATGTTTGGAGTCAGAGTGGCGTGATCTTGCTGAGTTTGCAAGGCCTAGTGTCTAGGTCAGAGGCCTAACAACTGAAGAGCTGATTTGTTGCAACTTTGTCCTTAAACATGCTTAATATCACTGGATGTGCTTCGTTGCCCAGATAAGTTTCCCATGGTGGCAGAAATTGTAGAGAAAATGCGAAATAGCAACTGTAGCAAAGAATAACTCTAAAGAGTATTTCGGCAACCTTACCCCTGGATGAAGCTTTCTTAGCTTCCAGGACCAGTACACTGTCTTCACGACTGAGAGGAATTGAATAGAATTCCAATAAAAATACATTTTTTTTGTTCTAAAACAAATAGCTAGCCCTTTTAAAGGACTGATTTGCTTTGCCACAAAGTCTTTATGGAAATATCTTTAACGAAAACCTTGACCTAAATAATTTGACGATTGCCAGTTAGCCAGTGACTGAAAAGTTTCGTTTTTACTTAGAAAAGAAGATTCTTTTCTCATATAGTTTCTTTACTTGATCACTGTTTGTGTTCATGCATGTATTAAAATAGGTCTTGTGTTGATCTGAATAGTTCTAGAGGCTTATATTTTACATCCACTGTTTGTGTTTGAGAAATGGTTTGTTTTTGCAGCTGGATGCTGGGAAACCGTTCTGTTAAATGCAGCTCTTTACCTTCTCTGTAGTGGTTTTCACCTTCTAACATGCTTATGCTGCATTTCTGTTAGTTTTTTTTCTTGACATTTATTTTTGTCTGTAGTGCCTTTTGAGATCTTCTATCCATTCGATAGCTCAGTGTAGAAATGCGTTCATGTTTATTACATAAAATTTGATCATCAAATACAACATTTTACTTGAACAGCTTTAAAAGAAAACTGAAGAGCTTATAACTTTCTGTGGTACTGATGATCTTTTACTTCTAGTATTAGTATTTTATGCAGTACATGCATTGTATTAGCTGATTCAGGCAGGCTAAAACTTCATATGTTATTATGAAACTTTGGCAGCAGTAGCTCTACTTTTCAGAGAGAGATAGGTGGTAGATTGCTGTAATTTTGGCTTTGCGTGAAGCATCTCACGTTAGGTTAACTTACTTAAGCTCTTCATTGCTTCCACCATTGTGAAGATTAGATAGACTCACTGAAGCGGTGTTTCGTTGTCCTTTCTCCTTTAGCTTCAGAAGGCTAAAAAGCTTTCTGACAAAAAAACAAAAACAGAATGTATTTTGAATTCAAGTTTTCCGTATGTATGTTCTTCCACAGTTACCCTAAGAAATATTTTATTGGGTCAGAACAAAGGCTCACCTCATCCAATGTCAAGTCTGTAAGGGGGCAGCAGGAGGAATCTAGGAAGGGTGTGTAAGCAGGGCAAGAAAACCATGATAATTCCCTTGAATATTCTCTCAGTGTGTCAATATTTACAGGCAAGGATCTTTCTGAGCAAGAGATGATGTCTTAGTATTTATTTTTTCTCGATGGGTTTTTCATCCATGATCTAGTCTTACCGTTTTTCTAAATCCACATAAAATTTTTGTTGTCCGCAGTTCCTATGACAAGGTGTTCCATAGCTGACTAAACGCTATGTAAAGAATTACTGCCTGCTTTCCACTAGTTATTGAGTTACTGTGATACCCCTACACTTGTGTGGGAAAGCCAGAGAAAAGTCATTCCTCACTCTTCTTTTTTCTTATTATTATATCCATGCGATCTCTGTTGTATTCCTTCTCAGTTATCTCTTCCAGGCTGAAGAGTCCTAATCTACTTAGTTGTTCTTCCTAAAGAAGGTACTCCATACTTTTGATCCTTTTGCCTTTCTCTGTGTTTTTTCCAGTTCTACTATATAATTTCTGAGATGGAGGGATGGGGAAGCCAAAACTGCATGTGGTATTTGAAATGCGGGCATGTTACTGATATCTGCAATGCTTAATGATGTGTTCTGTTCTTGTTCTCTGCTCTTTATCTAACAATTCATAATGTTTCATTTGGGTATTTTATTGGAAGGTTGGTTGGTTGGTTGGTTGGTTTTTTTGATCAAGACTGGCTACTGGGCTGACATTTTCATAGAGCTGTTTACTGTGACCCCCGTGCTCTTGCCCGTAAACAGTAATAGTCTGTGTCAGCGTCCCTCGCTGTATGAGTAGAGTAGGAGTTGTTTTTCTCCTGCGTACATCGCTTTACATTTATGTGTACTGAATTTCATGTGCCGTTTTATTACCCACTCAGCAGTCACCACTAACAAATCTTAGTGTGAATTTATGTATTTTTAAGTGCCTTAGGTGTTTCATTTTGCTTTAATGGTCTGAAATAAATTACAGTACGGACTATCAAATCTTCAGAATATCCCTAAACTTGGAGTGCAAGGTTCCTCTCTTCCCCTGCCTGTCCCTCAACTTCACAGCTGGCTTTTATGTTTTTTTTTCTACCTTTATGTTGAGTATTTTGGTTATGTTTTATTTTATGCTGCGTATTCATTTTTATTATGTTTTTATTAATCAGGCTTTTATGCAGATATATATTAGAAATATATTTTGTAAATATTTCTCATATAATCTTGTTAATGAATTTATTAATCTTGGTATTAAAGTAAGCTCTTTCACCTGCTTTCTTCTCCTCTTCCATGGTTACTGGAAAGCTGTTCTTTTAAAAGATGCAGTATAATTTAGTATTGATCCATGTATCTTTGATTTTTTTTTTCTTTTTCTGTCAGTACGTTTCATACTTCATTAGCATCCAATTTTAATTTAAGCTGAACATCTTCCAGATGTTAGATCTAAGACCAATCCTTTCAATTTTGTAATTTTTTTTACTGGCTGATTAGCATTTTGCTGCTTCATCACTGGCGTTAACGTACTTGTGGATTTGGAAAAGGAAGTCAGTATATTCAAAAGCTTCTAAATGATCATAAGGTCACTGGTCAGAGTTGGGAAAACTGGAGACCAGAGCTTCTATTGAGAGAAACTGTCCATGAACATTGATAGATATATATTTTTGGAAAGTAGCTTTAGAATAACTGTCCCTTTTTCTTGAATGGCTTATATGATTAACATAACTAGATTCGGAGCAATTGTCTAACTTGTGGTTAGCCTGGATTTCTCTGCTTTATATCAGAAGTCAAAAACAGAGACTTTTTTGGATTTGCTTTCTACTTGCTATAGTTTTTTTGTGGTGGGGCTGAAGCAAGAGGGAGGGAAGTTGCTTTTGGTTTTCCTTCAAGTCGATCAGCTTGTCTAATAAGATACTATTTCTCTTTCTTCCACAACATCTTGACTTCCTAAAAATGACGTATATTTTGATCTAAAATTTTTCAAGATACAGCAAAGTTTATAAGCAATATTGTCAGTTTATAAATACAGCATAGCCTATGAGAATCAAACTACTTCCTCCTGGCTTATTGTATCTTTATACTAGAGTTTAAGTTACAGCTTTACTGACACTTGAGCCAGTTTCCTCTCTCATAAATCTGTTGACTCTGCAGAACTAGCATTTGCAGAGATATGAAACTGTTTTCAGGTAAGCAAGCAAATGGGACCTGTAAATTAAAAAATGCAAATCTGTTGAATAAGGGGTAATGTTTTAAGAGTAGCTTATGCTCAGAATACCTACTGCTCTCTCTGTGTGTAACCACATGCGCTGCATTGTCAGTTATTGTATGAAACCAAGTGAATGCTTGCAAAAGTTTCTATTTAAGTCTCAATTGATTTGTATCGATTCCAGGTACAGACAGATGTTGGTGTAGATACTAAGCATCAGACACTGCAAGGAGTAGCGTTCCCCATTGCTAAAGAAGCTATTCAGGCTTTGGAAAAACTGAAAAATAAGCAACTCAATTATGTGCAATTGGCAAGTATAAAATATTGTTCATTTTTTCCATCCTATCATGCTCTCTGGTTTGCTTTCTGTATATTAACTATATTTAGGTTTGTTTCGTTAACAGCAAATTGATATGAAAAATGAAACTATTATTTTGGCCAACACACTTCATACTGAACTTAAGGACTTGCCAAAAAGAATTCCAAAGGATTCTGCGCGTTATCACTTTTTCCTCTATAAGCATGCCCATGAAGGGGACTATTTGGAATCCATAGGTATGGGAAAACTTCGCTATGTGAAACTTCTTTGACTTATTTCAAGCAATCTAGTAATCTTGAGGCAGAAAGAGTTACCTGTGTAGCTTCAGGAGTCTGATCTTTCAATGAGACTATAAATTTCACTGTCATTTGATGGTGAAATTGAGTCTTCTGAAGAGTCCTTATATTTAGAAAGTACAGAGCTATCCATTTTGATAGTGAAAACCTTTTAAACGTATCTCCGTTTAAACACCGAGAAATCAGTGCTCGTGTGAAAACAGAAAGATGGGCCATTCTCTGGTCCTTTCTGTATCTGAAATGAAACGCTTGCTGAAATGAAACATCCAGAATGATGTTACGTTTTCCCTTTCCGACTGCATAGTAGGTTTCCACTGCCTCCCTGCTGTAAATGATTTAATGATAAAGGTTTTGATACGGTATAATTTTTTCTGACTTTTATGTTTTGCCCCCCCTGCAGTTTTCATCTACTCCATGCCAGGGTATACGTGTAGTATACGAGAACGGATGCTGTACTCTAGTTGCAAAAGTCCACTGTTAGAAATTGTAGAAAGACAGTTGTGGATGCAGATAATTAGAAAAGTAAGTCTGCTGGTATTTTATCCATCCTTCTGTCCCTTTTTTGATACCTAACCATAGGTAGTCTAGTGCTGTCTCTGCACCACTTTCTGTAAACAATGGAAAGTGTTTTATAACTGTTGAAGTTGTATATAAATGCTTGTCTGCAACAAAAAATACTTGCTGATTTAAAAAAAAAAAACTTTATACTTAGGCCATGAAAGTTTTTCTGTGGTTTATAATTTCTGCAGTTTGATAGATTTAGTAAATACATCCTTTTGCCTCAAGGGAGTATTTGATAGTATTTAGAAGGAGCATTTAGAACTAACATGAGCTCTTACTGAAAGGAACTATGGAACGCAACATACTCTTGTTTCTGAACACTGAATTCCTTTAAAGCTGAAGTTATTTGAGGATTTTCAAAATAATGAATTTCAAGCTGCGGTTCTGGAATTTTAATTGCTATCTTATCAGTCCTTGACAAGGGCAATTTAGGATTTGTAAGCAAGCTGGTCTTTTCTCGCTAAAGATTTTACCATTAGGAATAAAGAACGAGTAGCTTATCACCTCTAGCAAGCAGACCATAGCAATAGTCCATTTACGGAATATATGACCTTTGGTTACGTTCCTAATACCTGAGCTCTAAATTTAGGAGAACTTTCAGGCTTGGTCTCTATGGGGATTACATCTGCCTAAAAAAAGTAATAGAATTAATACTAGCCATTTTTATACCTAATTATTTCGTAGAAAGTTCCTTTTTACAGTTAAGCAGATGTACCACGTGCCTCTTGAAGTACCCAGGAGACACGTTTCTGAAGCGTGTACTGTTGTCACAGCATTACAGTGGCTGGTGACTCCTTCAGGCGCTATGGTTGGCAGGTCATGAAGTGTTAAATACTCAGCAGGACAGGGTCAAAGCATTTCTCTCAATGCTAAATTCCTGCAATTAAAAACAGTGGGGTTTGGCTTGAGAACAATCTTCTCTTTCCATTCAGGTTTATATTCTTACATTGAAAAGATAATAACAGCTGCAACAACAGCAACAACATCAATAAAACCCTCTACTCCTTAAATTGATTTTAGCTTTTTCCCTAGCTTGAATACGTTCTCTTTGAAACTTGCTGAGCTGCAGTAGTCCACTAATCATATAAGCCATTTCTGCTCCTCCCCTCCTATCTCAGGAGACAGCAGTATGTTATGCATGTTGCTTTTACAAGTTTCAGTTTTAAAGCATTTTTCTCGTGAAAAATTTTGATTGTTAGGATGTGATTATTACATTGGGACAACGAAAAGCTTTTACTTCAGAAGGGAGAATAAAGAAAGTCAACCTTCGTTCTGAAAGGTCACCTGCTGCTTTCAGATATATATTAAGGAAGTTACTTACTGAGAAGTAGTAAAAAGCACTTGTTTCCACATGGAACGCTTCATGCTAGTCTCTGAACATTCTTGCACATAATGGTTTTGATATATAGTATTGAGAGCTTCAGCAAAATAAACATTTCTAAATGTTATTAAATGTGTTTTTGAGATGAAGAACTGCTTCTTCTTTTTGGCAGATTGAAATAGATAACGGTGATGAGTTAACTGCTGACTTCCTTTATGAAGAGGTTCATCCAAAACAACATGCACACAAACAAAGTTTTGCTAAACCAAAAGGTCCTGCAGGGAAAAGGGGAATTCGAAGACTGATCAGAGGTCCAGCAGAGACTGAAACACCTACTGATTAAAAGCTGTTATTTGCACTAGCAATAAGGTACTGCAACGAGAAATGAAATTTTGGCTTTTGCTAATGAACTGAAGTCATTCCCTTCATAGATGCTAGGAAAAAAAGCTTTTTGCTCTTCCCCCTCCTGACCTCAACACTACTCACATAGTTTCTGTTTACCATGTTTGATGACGTGGAATAGCTCATTATTTCAAAGCTAGAAGAGGAAAGCCAAGCCTGTATCTCTTTATTTTAAATTAGAATGGATTATTTAATAGCCATACATGTGATCATAAACTTAACAGACAGAAGCCTATTAAGGCTGTGTATTCTGTGGTTAGTTTCATTGCCTGTCTAGATAGCAGACCTGTGTTCAGATGAGTAGCCTATTTAAACCAGTAAGTCTTACCATGTGAGACGGTCTGAAGGACTGCAGCATTGTCCCAGATAAGTCTTAATTTTTCCTTGTAGCTGTCATGGATAATACTATGATAGAAGACACTCTTCTGTTTTTGAAATGATGCATTGTTGGTTTTGGTTTTCTTAATAGAAAAGTCAATTTAAAATCTGTTATTTAAAAAAAACTGATGCAGATGATCAGGAATAGGTGGAATGTTTTTTCCATGCAAAAAAAGCATGGTCGTTCCAAATTAATAACTAATTTTGTGGAATTGTCTTTTAAAGAAATCTGACATTAAACCACTGTAGCTTTTCCGGACTTTGATACCACTCTTAAGCCTTATATGTTAAGTATTGAACGATCAAGCAAAATGTAATTAAAAGTGCATCAGTCAGTATACTGACTATGCACTATATACTGTATTATGGAGCTGCTTTCAAAGCAATATACTTTAAGTTTATATAAGAATTGATTACCTGTGCACTTGGATCCAAAACTAAGTTTAGTAAAAAATTAAATAAACTTGCTTCATAGCAACTGAGTTATTCTTGATTTGAGATTATTTTCTAGTGCATTTGCAGTGTGTACTGCAATTTAATACATTCAAGATGTTCTGAAAATGATTTTCTGAATGCTTGAACTTTAATAGTAACTTAAATCCGTAACAAAAATCCTACTAGGTCTTGAAAAACTGCTAGCACTAGCAGCACCTGACTAAGATTTTGTCTTTTTTTTTCTTCCTCCTACATACTAAAATCAGAAGAGTATAAATTTAATTGAACTGTATTTAATCTGTTTAATAGCAATAGGAAAAATAGATGCATTTTAGAAGTAGACTAAAGAAGAACTATATGTGAAAATCACATATACTGAATGAGCTTAAATATTTAAAATTGTATAATGAGGCAAATATCTAGTGGGTAAAATATATTCCCCAGTGGGGACTTGTTATTTGGTGTCTTGTGCATGGGTTTTGTGCTTTTTGATTGTTAAAACTACATGGGAGTTGCAAGTCTTGGTTTATTGCATATTATTATCATAAATTCTGGGTGGTACGCATTACATAGCTGCATCACGTTGTTCTTACCTGATGGATGGAAGATGTATTTTAAGCTGTCACGTAGGGAAATAATGCTTTGACACGACTAGCTTGGTAAAAAAAAAATTTTATCTGTTATTTCATTTGGAGATACTAGCTTGTTATCGACCCTTTTGAAATTGCACTGTATAATGTGAAGATTGTAACAGTTCTTGGTTTTACTGTGGCTTTTTTTCATCTACAGTAGACATTTTACACCTCAGCTTTTCTGTTTAATCTTACACACTACATCAATCCAATTCAATAGCTCTTGATCCTCAGCTAATCTCCTTGTCCTTAGTGCTACCGTGTTCTTTTTCTGCTTCATGCCTTCTCTCTGAAGGGTAAGGAGCTGGTCTTAGGAATTTTTGTTCTACCTACTACCTTCAGGCAAGCGTCATTGTCTTTCAGACACAGTTCATGTCTATGCAGCTCACTATACACTGTAGCTAAGTGTATTTTTAGTTGAAGTCAGAATCTTTTTGATTCTGACTAAATTTTTTTTTGATTTATTAAGGTTAATGAAAGTTATTAAGGTATAATAAGGTTAATGGTCAACTGTAGCAGTTAAAAAATCACTGCTAGAGGGCTTTTTGTTAGAATTCAGTATTCCTGCCCATGTGCACTCCTGGCCTGGCTGACATACACAATTCTGCATTTTTACACTGATTAGAACCAGTACAGAAGTTCACCTTTTAAATACTGGATGTTTTAAATAATGAACAGCTTGACCTGATATGGATGTGTACATGTTGTGGGGTTTTTTTGTTTGTTTTCTCCAAATCCTGCCTGAGGTATAACAGAAGGAGTTTATAATGAGCTGCCCAAAGCTCATTATAAACCCTCATGAGTTTCTAATGAGTTCAGCCCAAACTAGACATTTTAAGGTATCTTCTTTTAAAATACTTTGACACGGTCAGTTCACAGTCATTGTTTCTGTACAAGTAAGTCAGTCCCTGACCAGCCCACAGCGTAATGTCCTGAGCATTCCCCATCACCCACAAGAGAGACACTGCTGCAACAGACTGTTCTCTTAAATCGTTTGAGCCTCACAGTGCTGACTGTGCCCTCAGGCCTCTTGTAGCTATTCTCCTGACAAAGCAATAAGAAGCATCTGATCTTTTTGTAAGATCTGTCATGTTTTCATCTATCTGGTTGCCTCACATACATAACACTACAGATGCTCACTGTGAATGAATGTTTAGAGCCAGCACAAAATAAGGGCATTAATAAAAGTGGTTCCTTGAACTGCCTCTGGTCATTTAATAAGTGAAAGTGTCCATTCTAAGTTATTGGTGGTCTTCATAAAGCTCAAAAGCAATGCGGCTGCTTGCAGTTAACTCACGTGCTGTTTAATAGTCAGTAATGAAAAATGACAAACAGGTAATTATCTCTGAGCTTGGATTACAAAGGAATAAAGTAGGAAAAAAGCAGATCATCTAAAACAAGTAGAACTCCTATTGGAGGTTTTGTAAAACTAACCAAGGTAATAATTGCTCTGTTACTTGGATAAAGGAAATTTTGATTATAGTGTCTATGTGTTTATCAATGTACTGAATGTAAGCCACCTTCAGATGCTAAAATTAAATAAAAGTTTACTTCATTATCTATTTCGCAATTTACTTTATAAATAAAGAATGAAGCTTTAGCGTGGTGTTGTCTGGATCATTTTGATGAAGACAGACAGGCTACACAGGTACACATCCTAACATCCTCACGTGAAAGCAACCGATAGCGCAGGATTAGAAAGCAATATGGAAAAAGTGATTACAGAGGAAGAAGAGAAGCTGACAGAAACAAAATTCCTGGCTTTTGATACTAGAGAAAAATCAGTTTGTGCCCTGTGAGAAGCAGCTACTTTCCAGTTGCTTTGCGGAAGCAGCAGTGAGGGCTCTATAGCAGAATCCAAGCAAGGGTTTTTTTTTTGTTGTTGTTTTTTGCTTTCAAGAACTGCTTCAAAAAGTGCTTCTGTCCTTTTAAAGTGCTATGTATGCATTGAAGAAGTTGATTAGAACTACTAAATTACTATCTATTGTGGTATTTGCTCAGCATGCTTTAATATAATTAAACTGCTCAAATGATGATGCTTCATTTGTAATCTTCCTCTTGCCCTCAACATGAAAATAACTTGTAGTATTTTGGCATCTCCTTTTAACTGTCTTGCTAATACTCCTGCCTCCATGGGGATATGTATAATACAGCAATTCTGAAGTTTAAAGAGGGAGAGTTGTAGCTGCTTTGAGCTAGGATTTAAGAGGATAATTTTAATGCAAAATACCATACTGGGAGAAAGCTGTTCCTGTAGTAAAGGTTGGGAGAGGCAGGAGGAGGGAAGTACGCTAGCTGTCTATGTAATCAGGAAGATCACAGAGAATGTGAACAGAAGTTGATGTATTCGTCTTTCAGTGAATGGAGTATTAATTAAAACACAGCTGGCCAGCTCAAAAGTAAAGATGAAGCAATTCTTCACATTTATAGCAAGAATATGAATACTGTGACTGATAGGTGTGGGAGGACTCAAAAAGCAACTGGACAAATTGATAGAAGTCAGGGAGACTTAAAAAATATGAAGACCTCACATCTTTCTCAAAAAGCCAATGAGCTGGAAACCGTAGCAAGCTGTTACATTTCATGGAGTAGCACTATGTACTTGGTCTGTACTCATGCTCTTTCCTCAGCAGCTGCTTCTGGCTTGTGTCCCAGACCTGAGGCCTGTGCAGCCCTCAGCTCTGTCTCACTGCAGCCAGTTTGCTATGTTCTGCTGGAGCCAATGGTAGAACTGTTGCCTCTGCTAAGAGGCTTTCTTAGCAGAGATTTTCTTTGGCTCACTTTCTAGCGAGTTAAGAAGGTCTTTTTCCTTTAGGATTTGCTTTTATCCTGCTACTTCTTTCTGGAGTCTCAGCTGAATTGGCAGTAACTCGCTATTTTTCATTCTTTCTTCTTTCTGTGGGTGACTTAAGTTGCTGTGAGTTAGGCTTCTGGATCCTTAACATGCAAAAGGTTTGGATCTTTCACTAAGGGAGATGCTTCCTTAGTGCCTCCTTAGTGAAGGAGGATGCCTCCTTCCCCTCCGAGACAGAATCTACAGCAACCATATTAGGGCTTAGACTCTAATCCTAAGAGCATCTTCAGCCCAGACCTCCACATTTTCTCTGAGCTTCAGTTTTGTAGAACTAGATCATCTCTTTACACACATAGAACTTGAATGACTAAAGAAGTTACTGACTGGTGTCCTGAAAAGCTTTACTGTAGTAATTGCTGCAAAGAGGTATGGCTCCTGCATGGTACAAGCTGCATGCTCCGCTAGGTTCATGTTTTTGCAGGGAATAAACAAAGCCTAAGTCAGCAACTCTTAACCCTAGGCAGTAGCCATAGGTGCTAGGTTTACTGTTTGAAGGCCTTGGAAAAAAAAAAAAAATCTCTGGGGAGAAAATTCCCTAAACCATGAGGTTTCTTTCCTGCACCTTGTGTATTTAAAAAAAAAAAAAAAAAACCACCCACCACCACCAAGAAAACTTCACATTCTCATTCCTCACTACACTGACAGCAAGAGAGATTTTTGAAACATCTCAAAGCTTTTACCAAAACTTCCTTAGCTAAAAGCATCTTTACTCCTTGAAGACAAAACAGTTTTACTACAACCACACACTGAATAGCATTACTGCAGCATAAACGTTTTCAAGGGCACATGTCTCTTTGACTGTTGATACTGGTCAGAGAATAGAATGAGGTGCATGAAGAAAGTGAGAGAGGCATGCCCACCCAACTGATTAAATGAAATGCTAGCTACCATGCTTCATTTTCAGTGAGAGGAAAGCTACTGCCACAATTTGGGTGCTGACAGACCACAGAGGTCTAATGATAGCTAAATAGTCCACAATGACAGAGGAACAGAAAATTCACGTGCTTGCAGCTAAGATTTTCCCAGCGCTTAAAACATCGCTTCTGGCACATGAACAAACTTGTTCTACCATACCAGATGTGAACAAAAATACTTAACTCTTGTTTCAACACCAGAGAGTTACTACAGCAAACACTTCAGAACAACAATATGGATGTATGCTAGCTGCAGGGATAGTAAAGAGCAGCAGTGCTTTAGTAAGGCATCTTCAGGCAACACCTGGAGGAGATGTTTAACACCAAAGTTATGACCTTAATATACGGATTTTATTCTGATTGTTTTAGAACAGTTATTTTCTTTGCAAAGCCACATTCATTTCTGTATAGCTCTATTCTATGCAGTGAAACTGACACAATGTTATTGTTAGAAGCACAAGCAACATAAAATGACTGTTTCCAACGCCAAAGTTTTATTAGGAATAAACACTGGCAACAAGAATGCCAGGTTTTTATTTGTGTTAACAGCTTTCCCAAATTTGTGCTCTATGAAACTAAAGTTGTACAGGCAGATACCTTTTTCAGATTAATCTATCATTTTAAAAGGCAGCACAGAATGAGTTAACGGCCAGGGAGAGTTCTAATGCTATAAATAAAATGTCAAAAATCACATGCTTTCTACAAAAATGTATGTATCCCTGAATGTGGTCAAATTGAATCTCCTTTTTCAGTTTCCTTTGTTCTTTCATAATCATGTATTTCAAACCAGGCTATTTACTTACTCCTAAACTGTCAAGAAAAAAAATGTTCATGAGGTGCAAAAGATTTACATGAAAGTAACATCTTTATTTACAAAAGCAGCACTCTCACACCTACTTAGTCCAAAGTATTTGGAATCTTATTATTCACTTTCATTCCATTTTCAGTCTGCTTTCATCTGCCAAAGTTTCTCTTCTAGAAAGCCTTCT